GACAGGACAGGTGCCATAGGTCCAATGCCCGCCACTTGCGGCGTGCACACAGAGTCGCCGTCGTCGGCCATCTCGCCGTTGCTTCAATGATCCTCCCCCTGCCTGCGGTGGATTTTGCGGATGTCCGGATAAAAATGTCATGAACGAACCCGCGATGCTACACAAGGTGAAGATGGTCCCACCGCGGCATGACGGGTCAAAGGTCGAAGGTTGGGGAAGCTGCGATCGCTGTTTGGTGGCTATTGGGAAAGCCATCTTTCACGTGCCTTTGTCTGGCCCATCACGTTCCCCTTAAAAGTGCCTCGACGTCCACTTGGTCGGTCGGGTACACCCTACAAACCCGACAACACCGTCCACCTCCGACGTCGCTAGGACAAGAGCTGTTGTCGAGGACTCGCTAGGACAAGAGCTGTTGTCGAGGGCTCCACTTTTCTGGTGCACGCAACTTGGTACATCACCATCATCACAGTGAATTCTCCGTGCCCATCAACTCATCCGACGACCTTGTCACGTTTTTGTGCGTAGCGGGTTGAATAGATAAATGAATTACTGTGCGACGTCCATGGCGACTGCAGCGTCTACAAACAGACTCACTTTGCCCGCGAGGAGACCAGCCCGCCGTCCACCCAGTGTCACAACGGCTTCGAAGTCGACTTGTCGGCCCATGCGATGGGACGCGTCCATCAAACTCACGACGCACTGGCCAGCGGAGAAACCGGACGGCAGGATAAAACTCAGCGCGACGTGGACGTGCCGTCGTGAGGCTGGCAGCACGACCGTCTGCTTGAGCCCATGGTCGGCCAGGGTCTTCCACGGGCTCAATTTCCACGCCGGCACGAGTTTTCGCTCGTTTCGCGTCGAAAACGGACCTTGGAAATGGTCGGCGAGTTCGGCGAGTTTGCGTTCCTCGGCAAAATCGTCTTCACACGGTAGCGGAAACAAGCTGCGCACGCGGAGCCGGTTCCCATGCACCGTCGAGGACGGCGGCACTGGGAGGCCTTCCATGATCGGCTTGGGCGTTGTGTTGGCACTTTGAAACGGCGCACCGGACCATGACGCGACCGAATACGCCCGACCGCCATGGGACGACGATCCGTCGTCATCGCTGACCGACCAGTCGTCGTCGCCGTTGTCGGTCATGAATTTTTCCAACACCGGGCCCCACGTCAACTCGAGGCACGTCAGGTGCACCGTCAGCGCCTTGACCGGCGTCCCTCGAACATTGCATGGAAGGAGGGACGTGTGCGGGGCCATCGCTGCCGCGCCAGCACCCGGGCCTTTTTCAACCACGACTTCAAACACACACGACACGGGCTTGTGATCGGACGTGCCAATGTACTCGGCGCTGGTGTATTGCACACACGCAAATCGGTCCTACAACGTGTCCGTCTCAACTCACGCGCGTGCAACTTGTGCGTACCTGCAACTTGGGCAGCGAATGGTACAAAATGCGATCGGTGTACGACGGCACGCGCACGCGGCCGTCGGTCAACACGGTCGTGTAGAGGTCGGCGATGTCGGTGGTGGTGGCGACGGCATGCGGGTTCAGCATCCGGTGCAACACGCGGCGGTACGTGGGCGGAAACGTGATCTGGGCCTCGTCAAAGTCGGTGAAGATCACGCCTTCGTCCATGCACTGCTTGAGCTCGTCGTGCTCGAGTAGGTGCCGCCACGACATGGACGCGGCAGACGACGACGCGATCGACGGCGTGGACGACATGGCATCGTGCCGGTCGTCGCTCGGTACACGAATGCAGGACGGTCGGGTGTCTACGATGGCTGCAGGTTCGCCTTTTGACGATGGGGTGTTCGCCAGGACGTACGACGACGCACCCGCCGGTTCCATGTCCGGCTGGGATGGCTCCGACGGTCGCCAGTACCCTACTCAAGAACATGTTACGCCTTGCCCCTGGCATAGCATGTGGACCTGGGGCCGACGCGAACACCTGGCCTCGTTTGATGGTGCTGTTGCTGAGATGGGAATTCACCACGGCTGCAATCATGTTGAGGATGCGGTCCGGCGTCGCGTCGAGCGCCGTGAGGCGGTAGTTGAGGTCGCCCATGAAGATGGTGTGGTGCGCCATCAGGTGGCAGTCGAACTCGTTGTCGATCGACTGGAGGTGCATGTTGGTCAAGATGTTGGACCCGTCTTGGTGGCGCTTTTTGATTTTGCTCTTGCCCTG